TCATAAGGTGTAGGGAGAGTGTTTAACTTATGATTCTGTAAAATATTTCTTATATATTTATGTTTGCCTTAGTATCTAATCTGCAATGCAGAAACACTGCATTAAGGAGTCAGAATGCTCAGCATCACGCACCCTTGTTGAGCAACACTTCTGGGGCAATGTACTCGGGAGTACCGCAAAGAGTATCCGTGCGGAATTCCACGACTTTGGCGAAACCAAAGTCTGTGAGCTTGACGTAGCCGTCACGGTCAAGAAGCATATTTTCAGGTTTCAAATCTCTGAGAAAGCGCGGTGCAAGAGAGGATAAAAGTGAGTTGAGGATACGACGCGGCGTTCCCTGCCCGCAGTGCCATGCAGCGGCGTCAACTCGTAAAAATGCTAAAAGGTATTTGAAAGCCTCAAAGCGCACCTGTAAATGATGTTGTCAGCGTGCAGGTAGTCAAAGATGTCTACAATCATCGAAGCGTAGAATTTCGCCACGTCGTTCTCAAAGCGCTTTTTCTTTCGCAGGTGAGTGAAGAATTCTCCTCCTGTCAGTTCAAAATNGCCACGTCGTTCTCAAAGCGCTTTTTCTTTCGCAGGTGAGTGAAGAATTCTCCTCCTGTCAGTTCAAAATCCCATTAAGCAAAACACAGCACCAGAAGAAACTTTCCTCAGGCCATAGAGAGTAACGGCACATCCATCTCGTTAAAGGCGAGGCAAGCAGCTCAGGAAGGAGCCTTGCGTCATGCATGGGTGCTAATCAAAACAGAAGAAACCCTAGTACTAGTGTCCATACAGCGTACAGAACTCCCGTTTATATATTCTTTACCTTGGACAAATTCCATCACAAGGTACAAATACCGCGGGTCTTGAAAGGTCCCGAAGCAGCGAACCTGCAGTATACAAATTGCAAACATGCTGATGCGTCCAGTAGTTTCCACTGCAACTATTCAAGTTATCGATACGAGGATAAGCACAGGTACAGGCCACATCAACTCCTTTTAGAGTTGGCCTTTGGTGGCGTCAGCTAGTGAGTTGGTTTCATTCCCACCGTGAGTGGGTGATCCAGCCCCAAAAGAATAGCCTTTTCGTTGAGTATATGATCAACGTGTTTCAACTTTATGATGCTGGCCTTCTTTAATATCTTGATTGCCACTCGGGGAGGAACTTGGGTTGTGTCTTCTAGTGAAACGCCCCGGGATTTCAGATATTTTGCACATTTCACCCGTCCAAATGACCCTGAGTGCACAGGGTACTCCTCTCTACTCACAGAGATGTATATTTTCCCTGTTTGAACTTCTTCGCAAGAGAAGAACATGCATTGGGGCTGTATTCAGTGGGGCGATCCACATAGACGGCAAATTTATGCTCGCTACCCCGCAGTTATAATAAAAGGAGCCTCTCGTAACTTAATAAAAAGGTAAACGTGTAACAAATAAAATAAATAAAGTATAAAGTACTGGACTGTCACACAAGCTGGGACGGGGAACAGCGAGGCAAAGGTTAGGGCTACAAGGCTGTACAGACCCCATATCACCGACAGCAAGTGGATAGACAACAACTGAAAGATACGGGGAATAGAAGAAGCAACGTATCCGCATAGTGCTTGCATCATACAGGCCTTATAACCGCCCAAACCCTAAACCCTAAACTCAGTATGCCTGTCTCAAGTCAAACGTCTCTAGGGGGGTGTAAACTTTTGCCTATTCTCCCACGAGAAGACGCAAAGCGAGCCACTGCCACCTCCTGTAGCAGGAGCCTTGACACCAGGCAAAGGTGCTGATGGCCTCGCGTAGGAGTAAGAAACCGTTGTTTCTGTTTCTTTCATTCAGGGTTCTACGGCTGACCCCTTGAGAGCTTTAAGGGCCGTGCGTGATCCAGTACAGTTTCACGTTTCGGCTAAAGAGAATCGAAATTATCTGTTTCTTCGTTTTGCCTCTTTTTATTTTCGGGATTATGCGGATGCCTGCCTGTTTTTGGGTGGAGGGGATCTTTACTATGCTGGGCTCTGGAGCAGCGTCTATCACCTATCTAGTGTTTCATATCTATTGCTTTTCACTTTCTGGTGTTCTCTCTTAGCCGCAGCAGCGGAGCTAGTGAAGAGGGTTCTTGTTTGCATCTGTCGTGGGCTTACCGGTGCC